TTTAAAACTTTGTGAAGAGATAGTATTTCTGATTTGAGTTTGAGTTGGGTTAGTAGGTTGGCCAATTGTAGTAGAATAAGTAATTTTGTAGTGTTAAGAAGTAAAGCTTGTATGAATTTTGCCACAAAGGCAGGTTGCGATTGCAGTGTGTAGTGGGACTTTAAAGTAATGTTGCTGTTTTTTATTATCGCAGTAGTCTGGTTTAGTAGCTGGTAGAAGGACTCTTAGAGCCTGGAGTTTGGCCTCTTGAAGCCTAACTTCATAGTGGTCTTTATATTTAGAATAGTAGTAGTCTATGTCATAGGTATCTGGTTCTTGAGAGTCAGTTAGAATAGGCATTTTTATGAGTTATTTTTGAGAATATAGTAAATATGTATTGTATAGTTTCTAAAGTGTGTATATATAGAAAGATTAATTAGTTATTAAAATAATATAATGTATAATTAACAAAACATGTACATATGTATGATATAATATATTATTATGAGTCCACAAATAAAAAAAAATTACATTTTAGATGGACTTTTAAGTTTACAATTTATCAGACTAAGTTTATTTAATTTGAAAATTTTCATATAATAAAATGTAATTTTAAGAATCCGAAGTATGATTTTCTCTTAACGACCCTGGAATATATATATATTTTTTGCGATACTATATACATAATCAATTAATGATGCATAAAATATTGTCATATATATATCAATGACAATTATTTGATTTGTTTTTTCTTTGCATTTCTTTTTAATAAATAAAACCTTGTCTAATGGAATCAGATTTGGATTCAACTGTTGAAAAAAATCTTAATTTAAAAACTGGTGTTACTGAAGAGTTTTCTGATTTAAATATTGATAAATATAATGAAATATGGTTTAATGAAGATTCAGATTCGAATATTGTAATATAATTAAATTTATAAATCGAATAGTGCAAAATATATTTTAGCTTATTGTTTTAATTTAAATTTTTTTTTTAAAGTGATGTAAATGAAAATCAAAATTTACAAGAAGTGGCATTATTTACGAAAAAACTACATACAAATCGAATAATTCATAGTGTATTACCTATAGAATATCCTGCAACATCTAAAGATGACATTGCAACAATTTTTAATATTAGTAGTTGGGATAATTACATTGATGCATTTAATAATGTAATAAAATTTTTAAATTATTTAATTTATAAGTTTATAATTTATAATAATTCTAAATTATAATATTATTATTTAGATTCAATATTCAATTAATGGCCATGGTGGTGCTTCTACTATTCAAAATTGTCCTTTTTCTGGAAACATTTTAGTCAAAAATGATGAGCAAAGATGTTAAGATATAAAATATTGTGAAATTAGCAATCCAATCTATCCTAATACTGTTCATAATAATGTTGATGTTGATTCAGATTTATATTGCAAAATGGTCACAAATCAAGAAATAAATAGTAAAAAAATAAAAACCTATTCATAATTTTATTTTTATTTTATTTATTTTTTAAGTTATATATTTAATATAAAATTAATTTAATTATTTATTAATAAAGATCATATTTAGCTGCAAGTGAATCTTAATGCAAGTTTCAATGTAATGGCATCATTTGTTCTGGATCTGCAAAACTTGGAAAAATTGTTGATTATTTAACAAATACTACATCCTATTTTATTAGATGTACTTAATATAAGCCTAATAATAAATGGCATCGCTTTGTTAAAATTAATATAAATGAAATTAATTTGTCTTTATTAAAAAAGTTATTTGTTGGTGAATTAATTGAAGATGATGATCAAATAACTTGTACTTCAATTATTGCATGAAGTTGTAAAAGAAAACAATGTGTTAAGTTTTAAATTTATATTTATTAAAATTATAATAATTAAATTTATTAAAAATTAAATTAAAAATTAATTATTATAGAATTTCCTCATATTAAAGATGGTCAAGTTACTAGAGGAAAAATAATTAAAAAATTATGTTCAGTACGCTTTATTAAAATTATTTCATTAGATATATCAAGCTGTTCTTTTGTTGCACTTATATGTATTGGTATTCATAATCATCCACCACCACTACCAGAAAAAATACTAGCAAATGTTAAAAATACATTACAAACTTTAATTAAACAAGCTATTAATAATAATGAAGCTTTAATAGCACATTCATTTATTACAGATAATAATTATTTAATTTAATAAAAATTTAATCTTTTAACTAATTATATTAATTTTTATATATTTAAGGAAATTTTATTAAAGTTTCATTTAAGACTTTTACTAAAACACACCTATAGTGATTTTCACCATAAGTGAAATCCACCTATAGTGTAAAATCACTATAGGTGGATTTCACCTATAGTAAAAATCACCATAGGTGGATTTCACCTATGGTGTAATAATCACTTATTGTTATTATTTATACAGTAATTTATATATATCGATAAAACATAATTTCATTTAACAATTAATGTATTGTGCATATATTTATCTAAATTTGCATGTATATATGTTACAAGTATATGTAGTTATTATTTAAAATAATACCCTACATAAAATATTGCCTTATTCACCAATGAAATCACTGAATTTATGAATGGTACTTGGGAACTATATACAATACTAACAATATTACGCAGTGAATTACTAAATTAAATATGCATACATTATACGTATTTATTTCTTACCTATCTACATATGCAGAAAGATTAGACACACAATCTGCAAAAAAAAAAAGATCTTTTCTATAGCCTGCCCTAAACTTAACATGAAAAAAAACTATATCAATGCTTACCCTAATCCTAACTCTTAAAAAATGTGCACCAGAAATCAAACATATATAATATACCTTGTTTAATATTTCTAGAATGTTCGTATATTAATTTGAAGTATAGCATTAAAAATTTCATTACACATTAATTTTTTTTTATTAATTTTATTTTTTTTTACAAGATACAAGCAGATATAAATAAGCAAACACAGGAGTTTCATAGGGTTATACATTTCGCCATCACTTATATTCCACTATCTCACTTACATCCATAAATATGAACAATGAAACTTACAGTCCTTGAGGCTCTGTAAGTCTTAGATAGGACTATTATAACACAGTATACAGTGCATTATGTTATAATAATTCTGCCAAACACTTACAGAGCTCTAGTAGCAAACATATAATAGTATCACAAAGCATATAATAAATTGCAATCATTAATATACATAAACATCGGTAAACACAAATGCCAGTATATACAAAGATACATGCAAATGCTAATATACGCAAATATTAGATGAAACATGCACAAGTAAAGATATCATGTTGTACAATTAGGGCAACGAGATCTACGATAACCATCTTTACCACAATTTTTACATGTATAAGTGTGTTTTTTCTTGCCTAAAGATATGTTTTTATATATTAATTGAAGTATATAAAGAATATTTAAACTACTAATATAGTACTTTGAATTGATTGCTCCATATCCTCATTAACCATATCAACTTTTGTTTCTAATATTATTAGTCTAATTTATTGTATGTTTAATAAAAAGTCAATAAATATATATGTATTTACCTTGATCATGACCTTGAATGTTTTGAATATCATATCTAATGTCTAAATATCCAAAACTCTTTCCGACGATCATTCGAACCAAACTTTTCAAAAAGCCGAACTACAGAAAAATGATATAGTTAATATATTAAACTTTATAAA